TGTTCCGCTGCGCCGCTGGACCTGTTCTGCTGCGCCGCTGAAAACCTGTTCGAAGTTAAGGAGATGCGAAAATCTCCATAGAGAATTTAAAAACCAGAAGCTTACGATGAGGGAAGTTGAAAGCTGAAAATGTCGCCGTTGAAAAACGAGAAGCGCAATGAAGGAAGCCGAATGCGCGCTTGACCGGAGCGACGATGTGAAGTTTCTGAAAAACGCTAAGCGTAGGAGCCGGGAGCCGAAATAGGGATAGCCTAGAAGGAGAGAACCATCGGGATGCCAAGGATCGGATTCCGCGTGAGCGGAATTTACTAGCTCGATACCATGCTAGAATTGGATCTGAAGTGCTTGATTGATAAGGAAGGCACGAGGCCTTAAGTACAAACACGGTTGGGTTGAGCAACGCTAGGAAAGGATGGGATGGGAATCCTAGCAAATCTCCAATTGGTGAGTTGGCAGATTTGCAGGATTACGAGGGAATCCCAACCAGATAGGGTTGGGATTATAAATCTACACCCAACCTACAAAGTAACCTAACCGATATAGAATATAGTACAAAGTGTTGACTGACTATTTCTAACAGTAGCTTCATAATCCGTTTCCAAACCGCCTCCGTAGGAGGATACACCTGCCCTTGGAAGGCTAGGATCGGGCAAACATAGCAGTTGACCACAGCCACCCTCGCCGTCGTCGTCAGATGGTGAGATTGCCACTTCAACAGCTCCTCTGCTGCCCTGGCCAACGTCTTGCCCCACGTAACATCTGCACATCCTGAGGGAGAAACCCACACTCCCAGTAGCCTTTCCGCATCGTTTGGGCCCACCCACACAAAAGCTGACCCGTCGTCTTTCGTCCTTTCCAGGTTTTTCCCCAGAGGGAGCACCGCCGACTTCTCCTTATTGACCACGAGCCCCGAGCGAGCACCGAAGTCATCCAGGAGCTTCTCTGCCTTACCGAACTGCTGCTTCCCCTTCAAGATCAGTGTGGTGTCATCCGCGTATCCCAGGTAGGTTATCCTTTCACCATAGTCATTGCTGATCCCTAACTTCCGCCGCTTTGCTTCTTGGCAGATGGGTTCCACAGCGCACAGGAAGAGGTACGGAGCCAGCGGACACCCCTGCCGGACCCCTTTGCCCACCACAACCTGATCGCCTAGCCAGCCGTTGATTAGCAGCCTCGTGAAGGACCCATCATGGAGCCCCTTGCACCAGCCGACGAACTTCTCCGGGAAGCCCATGAGCGACATGGTGTCAAAGAGGTATGTGCGTGAAACAGAATCAAACGCCTTCTGGAAGTCGACCATGAGGATATACCAGTCCTTGTCCTTGTTTCTTGCTGCTTCAATCACGTCCGCTACCAGCGACACGGCATCGGACAACCGCCTGCCTGGGAGGAAGCCACATTGATCCTTGGAGATGACTTTGTCCAGGACGCCCTTCATCCGGTTGGCCAGCAGCCTTGCCACCACCTTATACGAGCTATTTAGAGGAGTGATTGGTCTGTAGTTCTGAATGTGCTCTTTCGGACCTTTCTTGTGCAACAGGACCGTTACTGCTTCCTGCACCTCCTCAGGAAGTGATGCCGTGGACTCAAAGTTCTGTATGAACCCCATAAAATCCTCCTTGAGCAGGTCCCAGTGGCGTTCGAAAAGCTCCTCCGGCAGCCCATCGCTCCCAGGAGCCTTGTCCTTCGCCAAATCCTTAAGCGCTGTAGCACCTCCTTCTCCGTCCAGGCCTCTTCCAAGCCAGCAGCCTCCTCGCCCCCCAGCGTCTTGCCGACTTCGGGTTTCCAGCACGACAGTCCCGAGGGGGGTGCTTCCGCGAACAGCGAGGCGTAGAAGTCCGAGGCGGCCTCCAAGATTCCCCTCGTCCCTCTGTGCTCCACGCCCTTATATGATAGCATAGAGAACGATGTCTTCGCTTTCCACATCTTCACCTTCGCCGTGAGGACTTTCGACGCAATTTCACCTTTTGCTACCTCTTTCTCCCCTGCCAGCAGTTGCAGTCTGTCACTCTCCCCCCGCAGATAAGCGTTCAACTGGGCTTCTTTCTCGGACAGTTTCGCGCGCAGGTCTTCATTCCCGGGGTCCCGCATCACACCATGCTGCAACCCCGACCCAGCTTCCTCCAGGTGACGTAGCGTCGCCCGTATACGCTTACGCTCCTCAGTAGTGTACCTCCTCAGCGCCAGCTTAAGCTTTGTTAGCAGGCTACAGAAACTCCCCGAGCCCCCGGCACGGTGTCTTTCGGAGACCGCCTGAACGATCTTCTCTGCCCCCGGCTTTGTTGTTTCTATCGCAGGCATGCGCCACAGGCCCGGACCCAAGTGGAGACGCAGGTTCGCCCGCAGCACTGCCTTGATACCGAACTTGTGATCAGATATCCCCTTCAGCGGCCGGGAGTGAAACGCCTCTGCCACTGACTGGAGCAACTCTGCCGACACCAATATCCGATCTATCCGTGAGCTAGCCTTCTGCGCCCGAGAATAAAAGGTATACTCCTGGCCTCCTGGGTTGAGCGCACGGTAAGCGTCCACCAGATGAAGGCCGCCAAACATCCGCAGCACACGGTCATTTTCACCAGACGAGCCCGCGCCTGAGGACTTGTCTAACACCGGGTCCTCGATCAGGTTGAGGTCACCCGCAAGGAGGAATCGGCTCCTGCCTCCCAGATTGCTCTTTAAGAAGGGCTTCAGCGCATCTGTGAAAAACGCTCGATAAGCAGGCGCTCGACGGGAAGTACGCTGCCAACAAGGTGAAGGTAAAGGTGTCCCATTTGACATCCACCTGAAGCAGCCTGCCGGATCCATGCGATACAACATTCTCAAAGGTCAGCTGAGCGTTGTTGCTGACGATAGCTACCCCTCCTGCCCTTTCCACGTTCGCAACAGCGTGACAATGGCGGTATTTCAGGTCCTTCCAGAATTTTTGGTCTTGCGCAATACGCGTATCTGTGAGTACGAAAATGTCAGTCCCCTTCTTGAACCAGGTTTTCAGATTCTTTTGCTTTCCTCTGCTTCCGAGCCCGTTCACGTGGAGCTCGCATACCGATAAGTTGCAGGGTTTATCCATTAAACAACCACGCGGGGGCCCCAAAGCATCCACGGGCAGAGGTGAGAAATCTGAAAGACCACAGGTGAGCACTATATAGGCATGCATACATTTATAGGCATCGACACTGGATAACTAAGGACCATCCTTCTCCTTCTTGCGCAGGTACACATTCTAGATCCCGTAATCCTTCTTCAACAAACGGAGGTCCAGCTTGTCCTTGAGCACTCGCGTTGCAGCACCAGGCTTCACCAACCCCCCACGGTGACGCTGTGAGAGAGCGTGATGCGCCGCCTGCTCGAAAGATGATCCCTTCCCCTTTTCGCAGCACTCCAGCAGGTAGACCCACTCTTCCTGGTTGCCAGCCGTTGAATCGAGAACTATGGCCGGATCCTTGAGGATGATCTTGGTAGCTACTGACGCTACTGTCGCAGCTGCTGCACGTACGGGGAATCGGCAAGCGAGCGTCAGGCAACAACCGACAGGAAAAAGTTGCAGCGTAAACGGGTAAGCAGCAGACTCCATTTTTACCGTTGAGCTCGTGGACCCTCCCCACTGTGAGGTTCCACTTGGAAATGTTGCTTTGTCGAGTAGTGATGAAGTCGTTGTGATTGTGCACCGAGTGCATGCCGCCACAGAGACTGCATTTCAGGGCCGGATAGTGGACCATGATCCTGGTGCCAGGCGCGACAGGGTTCTCGAAGAAGTGCTTCCAGCAGAACTTGTCGTTCTCGAAGGCCACAACCAAACCCTTCACCCGGTCCGTGTCAAGTCCCGAGACAGGATTGACAACACGGTGAAAGTAGAAGCCGTCCTTGAAGGCTGGACGCTGACAGATCTTCAGGGTGGATTTCACCAGCGCCTCATGGAGCAGCTCCGGGGAGATTTCAGCAGCAATGCCGGTGAAAAGGACTTCTATGACCGAAGTGTCCATCATCTTCCGCCTTGTGTAACTCGGATCCTCTGGGAACTGCCAATCGAAGGTGACGTACTTTCCGTCCCTACACAAATGGTCCACACTGTTACGCCAGACGAAGTTCGCGTCAGCAGCATTGACAAAAGTAACTTGCAGACGACCATAAAGCTTCTTGGAAAGGTAAGCAGGAGCGAGTTCCTGGCACGTAGTCGTCGCAGCCGCGTTCTTGGTAAGATCGAGTTTTTAAAGCACCAAAAGGCCTTTGACAGTAGCTTCCATAAACTGGACCTCCTGCATGTGCTCGTTAGGGATCAACAAGGTAAGCGGAAACCTCAGCTTAGCAGCCAACTCCCCCTCCGCCTTGTCTTCAAAGGACTCATTCGGGTCATGCGCGATCAAACCGTCGTCATCGTCATTGAGGAAAGCGTAGGGCGATGCAGGGACAGAGGCCTCTCCCTCGTCCTCTTCAGCTTCTCCCTCTGCATCTTCGGAGATCGCGTCCTTAAAATCCGCGTCCTTGCTTTTGCCCTTTTCCGGATCCTTCCCCCACCAGCGGCTTGCTCAATCCGGATCGCAGCCAACTTAGCGGAAAGCGTCAATGAATCAGCGTCGTCTTCAACGAAAAGTGCACGTGAAGACTTCGGCGGGACAGCAGTCACGGAGACAGGCCGGCTAGTCGCGGGAGCAGGCGTCTTTGGTAGCGCAGCACCAGCAGCAGGATCCATCTTAGCAGGCTTAGCAGGCTTGGGTTTCGGAGGCATGACGTGATGATGAAAAAGCCACCACAGCCACAACAATGTTGGTGAATCCCAACGACTGAGCGTCTTTAAGAAGCTGACGGAGCAAGCCTGGGAAGCATGAATGAAGAACTCTGGGGATGACTGAAACCATGGGATTAGCAACGACCCTTGAGACTTGTACGCTGAACAACCAACCAAGAAAGAGCCTGGGAGATGACCATTGATGTTAGTTCCGCGAGCCTTGAGAGGATATGCATTCGAGAAACAGGAACCAATGTCAGCTGTTTTGACATTAAAGTTATATCCTCGTGTTCCTCTTTGAAAGACGATTCTCAAGAGATGCTGATTGGAACTTGTAACCATCGGGAGCACCGACATTGGTAGCTCCGAAATCCCTGGTGGCAGCCATGGCGGCCTTGTTGTCATTGTCATTGTCATTGGCGGGCTGACGATGGCTGCACACCCCACTGAACATGCACACGATGGCTGCACACCCCACTGAACATGCACACGATGGCTGCACACCCCACTGAACATGCACACGATGGCTGCACACCCCACTGAACATGCACACGATGGCTGCACACCCCACTGAACATGCACACGATGGCTGCACACCCCACTGAACATGCACACGATGGCTGCACACCCCACTGAACATGCACACGACGCGCCACACACTCACCAGCGCGCTCACTTGCTGCGCCAGAATGACCTTCTCATCACACAATGCCCGCATCTTCCCCTGCTTCTCGGAAATTTCCTCCCTCAGCCTCCGCAGAGCAGCTTCCCTCTCATCGCTGACGTCACCATCGACATCATCCCGCCCATCCCTCCCCGCCCCCTCCTCCTCCAATCCCCCTGCCACCCTCTCTGCAGACGCACGAATCACATCGGTCACAGCTGCCCCTGTCACTCTCTCTGTCATAGTGGAAAGTTCTGCCTTTACAACCACAGCCTCGCCCTTTCTTTCCTCCTCCTCCTGCTGTAACCCCACCTGCTGCTGCTGCTGCTGCTGCCCCACCTGGTGTTGCTGTGCTCGTGGCCTTTTCTTCCCGATGCTCTTCCTCCCCCCTCCCTCCTCCACCTCCTCCTCCACCTTCACCATACCACCCACAAACCCCTCCCCATCCACGCCCTCCCTCTCCCCCCTCCCTCTCTTCCTCGGTCTCCCCCTTGGTCGCCTCTCCCCCCCTCCCCCTGCCTCCTTCTCACCCTTCCCTGCAAGTATTCCGCCTTCAACCCGCACTGCTGGTTCGCTGCCTGGTGCAGGAGAAGGCATACCTTCTTGCCCAAGAAGAAGGGAGTTCCCCACCTGTGTTGACAGCCCATCGGCCTCATCGCGTGCCGTGCCTTGACTGCACCCATCAGTAGCACCATCAGCGGCACCGTTAGACCCACCATCAGCAACAGCAGCGCCAACCGTCACATTACCTCCCTCACTGCCGTCCTCCCCATTCCCATCATCGTCAGCATCGCCCTCACTAGCAGCATCGTCGTCGTCCCCCCCACTCTCATCCCCCTCCCCATCCCCATCCCCATGGCCAGGTGGGCCAGCATCAGCCGCTCTGAGGGCCGCCTCCCTCTCCTCTATGGCCGTGAGCCCCGCCCGGATGTCACTCTGAATCTCCATGCGCAGCGCTGGGGGGGGAAAGGAGGCACAGGCACACGCAGGCACACGCAGACACAGGCATACGCAAATACAGGCATACGCAGCCACAGGCACACGCAGACACACGCAGACACACGCAGACACATGCACACGTAGTCACAGACACACCCGGCAAGGCAAAGTAAGTAAGCACACACCATGCTGCACCATTTCTCTTCAAACAACAGTCGGCGCAAGGTTAAGTCATCTCACCTAAGAAATGGTCAGTACCTTATTGCCGTGACCACTGCTTTGCACCCACCTTGGCATCGGCCGTCCAGCTCCCGCATGAGTGAGAGCATGCGCTGTAGCTCGTGGGGCAATGATGACACCTCTGCAGGGGAGGGGGAGGTGAGTGGAAGAGAGAGAGTTGGAGGAGGGGTGCGACGTCATGAGTGATTGTGAGAGCATGCTCTGCAGCTCGTGGGGCAGTGATGACACCTCTGCAGGGAGTGGGAGCAAGGGCGGGATCGAGAGAGAGATGGATGAGGGGCGTGAGGCCGCTCACAAGAGAGAGCATGCATTGCAAGTCGTAGGGGAGTGATGACACCGCATGACCGCAAAGGTGGGCGCAAAGTTAGGCACCGCATGAGTGAGAGCATGCGCTGCAGCTCGTGGGGGAGTGATGACAGCTCTGCAAGGGTGGGGAAGGGGGATGGGCAGAAGAGGGAGTAGAAAAAAGGGAAAGCTCCCTCATGAGTGAGAGCATGCGCTGAAGCTCGTGCGGGAGTGATGAGACCTCTGCAAGAGGGGGCAACAGCCGCAAGAGAGAGAGAGATGGAGTAGGGCGGGGCGGTGAGAGGGTTCTCTGATGAGCTGAGCTCTCTGATGACACCCCTGCAGGGGGGGAGGTGGGCAGACCGACAGACAGGAGGATGGGGAATTTCCCACGTGAGTGCGCACATGCTCTGTGGCTCGTGCAACAATGAGGATGCGTCTGGAGGGCGGGAGGATGGGCGGAAGAGTGATACTTGGAGGAGGTGGGTGAGATCACATGCGGGAGCAAATATCCATCCAAATATCGCTCATGAGACAGGGAGCAGCATGTGAGACAGGGAGCAGCATGTGTGCCGCAGGTCACGTGCGGCAATGAGGATGCGTCTGGAGTGCGGGAGGAAGGAGGATGGGCGGACGGGAGAGTAAGGAACGCCCCTCTCGAGGGAGATGGGGTGCAGGATGCGGGAGAGAGACAAGTCCAGTGCAGGGAGAGGGGATGGTCGGGTGGAGAGACGGGGACGACGTGGGTGAGAGAGAGCATGTGGGGCGAAGAGCAAGAGCCTGTCAGGAGGCGTAGAGCGAGCGCGTGGAGAAAAACAGGGCAGCAAATGTGATGAGAGGACGAGTGTTGCGGCAAGAAGATGGGGGTGGTGGGTGTTGGGGGCAAGGGGAGGTCTCACATGCGTGGCGAAACGAGGAGAAAGTGAGAGTGGAGAGGAAAGGGGGGGGGGGAGAAGGGGGGAAGGGGGGGGGGGGAGAAGGGGGGGGGAGGGGGGGGGGGGTTGCGATCGATGAGAAAGGAGATGAGGGAGGGATGTGAGGGGAGAGGGGGTCGAGTGAGAGATTGGGTCGAATCACATTCAAAAGATCACCTCAAATAGCATAACATCCTCCCAGGTTCGATTTATTCCAAAATTGACTCGCGTGCAATCCAATCCACTGCAATCCCATGCGCTACAGTCACATCCTCTAGCCTCACCTGCCAGGAAGTCGTCCACATACACGCCTGTGCGCGTCGCTGCCATCCGCCCCACCGCACTGCACCGCACCGCAGCGCGCCCGCTTGCGCTTGATTGAAGCGCTCTCAATTCAGTCACCGGTCAGCGCCCTCGGTCGGCGTCCCTCCGCACGGTGGGAGAGAACGAATGCGGAGCTTCGCGGAGCGCCTGCGCCGGCGTAATTAGAAACTAGCCCTGCCAGCGAAACTAGCCGCGCCGGTGAAGTCTAGCCGGCGATGGCGGCGGCCAGCAGTAGCCGCCGGTTGAACGACGGCGGATGCGATGCGAAGGACGATAGGCGCGCCGAGCGCTGAGCCCCAACGAAATACAGTCTCAGAGCCGAGCGCCGAGCCTTAGAGTCCTGACGTCCGGAAGGCTACTTTGAGAACCTCGGAGGATCGAGCCGCGCTTAGCTTGCCGCGTTCGGCGGTAGGCACTACTAGTGCTGAGCTGATTGTCACGGCTAGTTGGTGGCTGAGATGGGTCGTATTATTCAGATGACATGTTTCTCCGAGGGCGCGTTTACGGAAATGTGCGATCGCCACTGCGGTGCCGTTTGTTATAAGCAACAGTGGTGTAGCAATTGGAAACATGAGCCAGTTCATCCTCTCACGCCAGCAATGTCACTTTTGGTTGAAACCGAGGACCGACAACAATCGAATCGAGGACCAGAAATACTTCCCTTGGGACCTAGTTTGTGAGCCTCGTTGACCTAGTTCTTGCCGGACATTAGTTTGCGTGGAGCTAGCTCGTATCCCGTAAGTCTCCCGCCTCGCTGCCAACCACCGACGTCTCACAACCAAGTATCGCTGCCTCAAAGCCAGGATTAAACCCCCGTCGCGAATTCCGTCGGCGATCGAGTCGCTTCAACCCGCTCATAACCCGCGATCATTCATTTGCGCCGCAAGTCACTAATTGCACTCGAGGCCGAATCGTTGCGCGCCGCCCATCGCTCATCGCTCGTCGCGCGTTCGCATTTCCAACCATTTTGGCGCATCGGCGCGTGTCAGCGGGCCGCATCGTGTACGTCTACACGCGCTAGAGTCGGCGGCGCTTCGAAATCCCGTGCTTTTCGTTCTCAGCCCCGTTCGCGCGTGTCAGCGGGCGGCATCATGGTGTACGTCGACACGTGGGACGAGTTTGCGGAAAAGGCGGAGGTGCTCTTTCGAGCCGACCCCTCCAAGGTCGGTGGCGAATTGTCGTTTTCTGCGTGTAACTGACTTACACTCTGTATAGCTTGTACTCGATACGGCATTGAACACGGTATGGATTCGCGGACGAGGCGGTAGGCGTTGATTCCGCCCCCTCCCCCCCCCCCCCCCTCCCCCCCAAGGTGGGTGAGCTCGACAGCACGCAAAAGGTCGTTATACGGAAAGAAATTCCGGGTCAAACATCTTGCTGCTAGAAGTCTTCCGCGATATATCCGTGTTCGATAAGAAGCTGGTAAATTGTTTAGTGATAAACTTTCGTTTCGGTATATTGCGGCTCGTCAGCAGTGAGGAAAGCGTGGCAGGTCGGCTGCCCTGAGGCATTCCCGCTCCTCCCCTCTCCCCCAATCCGCCCCGCCCCTCTCTCCCAACCCGCTCCGCCCTTCTCCAAGAGCCCCTCTCCCCCCACCCGCTCCGCCCCTCCCCCCGGACATGCTCCGCCCCTCTCCTCCCACACTTTCCGCCCCTCTTCCCCCACCCTCTCTGGCCCTCTTCCCGCTACCCGCTCCGCCCCTCTCATCCCACCCGCTCCGCCTCTCCCCTCCGACACGCCCCGCCCATCTGCCCCCACTCGCTCCGCCTCGCTCCTCCCACTCGCTCCACCTCTCTTCCCCACCCGCTCCGCCTCTCTCCTCCCACTCGCTCCGCCTCTCTCCTCCCACTCGCTCCGCCTCTCTCCCCCACCCTCCGCGCCTCTCCCCCCACCGGTTCCACCCCCGTTCCGCCACCCGCTCCGCCCCTCTCCCCCGCCGCATCCGCTCCACTCCACCCCCCCAACACGCTCCGCCCGTCTACTCCCACCCGATCCACCTCTCTCTCTCCCCGCACCGGCTCCGCCCCTTCCCCCCACACGCGCCGCCTCTTTCCCCCTACCCTTTCCGCCCATCTCCCCCCACCTGCTCCGCCTCTCTCGCCCCACCAGCCCCGCTTGCTCTTTGGACGCCAGAGAAGCTGCTCGAGCCATTGCGCGCTCCCCTCTATCCGCCTCCTCTCTCTTCCCCCCTCTCTTTCCCCATATCTTCTCCCCTCCCTTTCCCCTCTTTCCCCATCACTTCCCTCCCCCCCCTTTCTTTCCCCGTCTTTCCTGATCTCTCCCTCCTCTCCCTCCCCCTGTTTCCCCATCTCTTCTCCACTCTCTTCCCAGTTCGCATGCTCACATACACACACACACACCTCGCACACCCCCTCCCCCCTCCCCTCCTTTCCCCCCCCTCATCCCCTTCCCCTCCCCGCCAACCCCCAACGTTCACTGCGTCTTTGAATATCTACAACTCTCGGACTCGTTCATTCTCCCCCATACATTCTCCACCTCATCCCCCTGCCCCTGCCCCTGCCCCTGCCCCTGCCCCTCCCCCATAACAGTTCCGCTATGTGAGCAAGTACAGGCACTGCGATGGCAAGCTGGTGCTTAAAGCCACAGACGACCGCGTGGTGAGTGGTGGTGTGGGTGGGTGGGTGGGTGGTGGCAGGGACAGAGAGGGGTAAGTGGTTGGTGAGCGAGAGGTGGTGGGTGGTGGCAGGGCGAGGGAGAGGTGAGTCCGAGTCTGTGAGTAGAAGGTTTAGGTGTTCTCTGCTCTGTTCCACGCTCTTCCCATCTTCCCTGCTCCCCCATTCCTTCTTCCCCCCGTCCCAGCTCCAACCTGCAGTGTCTGGGTGGGGTGGGGGGGAGGGAGGCAGGCAGGGTGTCGGGGGGGACACGCTTGGTGTTAACGGCTCGGGGAGGGGTCTGGTCGGGGAGGGGTCTGGCTGGGAAAGGGGTTTGGTCGGGAAGGGATTTGGTCGGGGATTGGTCTGGTCAGGGAGGGGCCTGGTTGGGAAGAGGTCTGGTCGGGAAAGGGTTGGGTCGGGAATGGCCTGATGTTTCCTGGCGTTGCCAGGTCAGGGGACGGCAAGGGGGGATGGGTGGAGTTGTGGCATGTGTTTGGGCTCCTGCCTCATACACTGAAAGGAGGTCCTGGAGGGCCATGGGTCATCGGTCATGGGTCTAACAACCTGTTCCTCTGGTTATCACCTATTGCTTCCCCACTTCCCTAACCCCCTTAATCCTCCTGACTCCCCTCCCTCCCCCACCCCCCCCCCCCCCCCCCGCCCCCCGCCCCCAGTGCATCAAGTTCCGCACGGACCAAGCACAGGACGCCAAGAAGATGGAGCGCCTCAACAACCTGCTCTTCACCCTCATGGCTCGCGGACCAGACGGTATGCACGCACATGCTCACGCCCTCACACCAGTGCACTTTTGGAGCGCCTCAACAACCTGCTCTTCACCCTCATGGCTCGCGGACCAGACGGTATGCACGCACATGCTCACGCCCTCACACCAGTGCACTTTTGGAGCGCCTCAACAACCTGCTCTTCACCCTCATGGCTCGCGGACCAGACGGTATGCACGCACATGCTCACGCCCTCACACCAGTGCACTTTTGGAGCGCCTCAACAACCTGCTCTTCACCCTCATGGCTCGCGGACCAGACGGTATGCACGCACATGCTCACGCCCTCACACCAGTGCACTTTTGGAGCGCCTCAACAACCTGCTCTTCACCCTCATGGCTCGCGGACCAGACGGTATGCACGCACATGCTCACGCCCTCACACCAGTGCACTTTTGGAGCGCCTCAACAACCTGCTCTTCACCCTCATGGCTCGCGGACCAGACGGTACGAATGCCACTTGCCACACATGCGCACACGCACACATGCATACCACTGGCATGCATGCACGTCAATGCCCTAGTGGTATGACACCTCACAACCTTCTCTTCACTCTCATGGCACGTGGCCTTGAGGGTACGAACGAACGAGTACACACACACACACACACACACACACCCACACACACACACACACACACACACCCACACACACACACACACACACACACACAGACACACAGACACACACACAGACACACACACACAGACACACACACAGACACACACACACACACACACAGACACACACACACACACACACACACACAGACACACACACACACACACACACACACACACACACACACTATTTCGTAAACACACACACACACACACACACACACACACACACTATTTCGTAAGCACACACACACACACACACACACTATTTCGTAAACACACACACACACACACACACACACACACGAGCACGCGCGCGCGCTGTGTTTTCCCTTCTGCGTCTGTGCTTGCCGCGTTTCTTGTTGACTGTTGCCGTGGAGCCACACCAGCTGTCGCGTCTTTTCGATAGATGATACTTTCCTGACCCAACCATGTTCTTGCTGCCGTTTCTGTTGCTGCTGTTTCCGTTACTGCTGTTTCTGTTGCTGCTGTTCCTATTTCTGTTG